TTAATTACAATCTACCCCAAGTAGAGCGCATTTGTTGTCTAAGCCTCTCCCATTCTCCATTTTGCTCATCAAAAGCAGTGGATAGTTCAACCATAATCCCATCGTCAACTTCCAACTTGGAGTAATGTTTGAACAAGGACTTGCTTCACTTAACCTCTTGGGAAGCATTACACCTTTTAGCAGTTAATGTAGCCATACAGTCATCCATCCTTGCTTGAAGTGCCCTCATCTCTGCAATAAGACTCATCATCATCGAGTTTTCAACCATAACTTTAGTAGAGATCTCACGTAAATTGCTCTTTGTCTTCTCTATTTCTTCAAGCAAAGACTTATTTTCAGCTACAGCACGAATATACCGATTCTTCCTGGCCTTCAATTCTATATTTTTGGCCAACAAAGAGTTTATCTCTGAGTGGATGATCTTCAATGTTAGCCTAAGATCGGATGAAATTGTAAGCGAGGGAAGCTCAAGTGCTTTGGCCATTTTCTCACTTAGAAGATCAAATTTCTCTTTCTGCTTAGAAGCACTGGCCTTGTTGATAAAAATCCATGAAAGAAACATATTCAAGCACAGATTGCTTGAGTATATTCATATTTTCTTCCGAGAAGGTGGTAGATGAAGCAGAAGGACGACTGGATGATGAAGAACGAGAAGCGGCGCTTTCTTTTATTTGTTCCCAAGAGGTAAACACATCTTGAATTGAGCGTAAAACAACATCAGTAGTCTGTAAAAGAAATGCAGGTCTTAATATCCTCATGACAGTGAACAAAATAAAGATGAAAGATAAAACAAAAGCTACCTCATCACTAGCTTTCGAAAATTGGGGCACCTCACTGGTAGATGCAACCACCTGTGGAGACTTCCCCTTGTCTGAACGAGTAGGTCCTGCAATGATAGGCAAATCCGTAGGAACCTCTGCAAAATTCAAGAAGCAATGAATCAAGGGCCAAATGGTACGATCAAGAGTAAAAATAGTAAAGTATGTGTTACCTTCTGGTTCAACACTTGGGGGTCAATGCCCTGAGAAGATGGTAACTCTCCAACTAGTTGTGGTGAAGATTCTGGGGCTATGGATTTCTCATTAGGTAAAATCCCTGCATCAGATGACTTGGATGAAGGAGTTTCAGTTGGAAGTGATGAAGCAGGGGCTGCTAAGATTAGAGCATTCGAATGAGAATTCGAACTCTTTTGAGGAAATTCAAGTAAAATATTAACCTATGAAGGGTCATTTTTCATGAATAAACAAGCTTAAATACATTTCTCCTAACGATAAAAGGAGCACCACCATCATCATCATCAACGGGCAAGACTGGTGAAGATGAGGCTGGCCGTTTACGACTGAAAGCACCCTTCCCTGCACTAGCACGAGCAGGAGGAGAAGCAGATGGAGGGGCCAGATGTTTAGTGCGAGCAGGTGAAGAAGGACCCTTGATGGATACAGGAGGGGCAAGAATGGGAGAAGTAGAGGAAATCCCTGACCGATCCAGCAGGTGGAAGGCGTGGTTGGCATCAGTTGTGAAGAGTCTATGTTTCACAGATGGCCAAAGTTGGTTAAAAGTAGGGTGAGTGACAAAACTGGGATTGAAAGGGACCAAGGAGAAACCTTTAGTCAAAAGGTTGTTACGGGCATCAATAGCTTCTGCCTCAGTTTTATTTATGACATGAAAACGGTCTATCAAACTCTTAGAATAACAAAGAGGAACAGGCCATGTCTGGCTAAAACCAAGTTGACGAGCAAAAAATTGGAGAACATATATCTTGACCCGAACTTTAGCGTTTGGTCCAGTTACGATATCATGGAACAGCTCTCTCTCAGTCAAAAATTGAGACCGAATGGGTAGGTTCGTGCCCGCCTCATCTATGGTAGAGGGAGGTCGCACATAAATAGGAATTAAGTGAGCAGAAAAAGGAAAAAAAAAAAGGAAGAAATTGAATTCAAATTGTAAAAAAATGTGAAGACGTCCCTAGTGGACATATTAACATGGCTCAATTGATGGATGAATAGCCCATAACAATTGACCAATTGTGGAGGGAATGGTAGAGTACTAAGTAGTGGAAAGAATGCCCTCAACCACAATTGAGCGAGCTAAAGAAGCCCACTGCCAGTGGGAGATACACCATTTCTCAATTGAAATTGAAAGGAAATCATGCCTCTATAAAAGCAGCTAAGAATAACAAACAAAGATTCAAGGATCTACCACGTGCCAACTCATGCGCTATAGGTAAATAACTCATCGAAGGTTTCATACTAGGCACACAAAGGACATATTTACATAGTCGATCTGAAGAAAGGCTATATACTCAATATGGGAAGGCTCAGAGCTGGAAGCAGTATAAAGGCCTTGCATGCCTGAATAGGACTTAATAAGTTTTTCGTCAAACTTTGGGGCAGTACTAGTGACCAAAATGCCGAGATAAATGGTATCGCCCAGGGGCGGGAGATTTAGTAGGGCCCCAACATCCTTCAGAGTGATAGACATTAGGCCAAGAGGAAAAATAAAAGTATTGTATTCAAAAGACCAAAAACTCAATGCAGTCGAAAAAAGCACCGGGTCATAAATTGGGGGATGGAGTGCCATTTCTAGTAAGTTCGAAATCCCAGCAGGAGCAAAAATCGCTTTGGTAGGACCATGTTTTACTAAACATGCATGCCAAAAATGAAAAGTAAAATCAGATTTAAGTCAAGTACGAAAACCTCGTTCCCAAATTGGCTTTAAAGGAAACAGATTCAGAAATGGAGGATCTTGAGTACAAGGAAAATGTTGACCCGCGGAGGCTTTTCCGATAGATTCAATGTTTTTAAACGATGGACCCAGATATAATTCATTGAGGTCTGGGTTAGCTAATAAGAGAAAATTCGAGTTTATATATGGCCTAGCAATGAGGGTTTGGAAATCTTCGAAACTAAGGATGTTATCAGAAGGGATTGGTGGAGTCGCCATTTGCAACAAAATACAGTCGTGGTGAAGATTCTTGAGAGGCGTAGTGAAGAAGCAAGATGATGAACAGTGACCTTTATAGGACGCACGATGTAAAGACGTGAAGGTAATGGCGCGATGAAGTGGTGTGTATTTTGGGTTTATAAGGGTTTGTAACGTTACACCTTTTCAGATTATAGAAAGGTTACAATCAAACGGAAATAATGATTGAAATTCTTGGGAATTTCAAGTATTGCCAAAAAATACAAGGGAAGAATATGGCAAAGATTAGTAATTGGTATTAATTCTATCATATTGGGGGGTAATTGTTGACATGTAAAAAATATAACCCAAATTGAATTGTCCAAGGAATGAAGCCCAGTTAGGAAGTCCAGGAAGAATGCCCAAATAAGACCATTAATGAATGCAGTGGAGGCCCACGAACAAGATATCATCATCGCCCAAACTTGCAAAACGCCCAGGATTTGAGTAATGGAGTACCTTAAAATCGCCCAGAGCAAATGAGCCCGTTCTCGCCCAAACCTTCAAATCGCCCAAGATCTTAGCAAACATGAGGTATTATGGTTATCCAAAACAGAAGTTATTGAAGCAGTTATTAAGCAACCTTATCACACCCATGATCCAAGAATCATGGTTGTAAACAGTTAAACGACAAGAGTAATGGCAATAGTTAGAGACGGCAGTTCCATGACAAGTCGGCCATCTTGAAGAAAGTGGGTAGTTATAGAGCATCAAGCAGTTTTCAAACAGTTTTTCACCAAGAAACTATCAAGGGAATATAAAAGGAAAGGAAGACATAGAGAAGAAGGATCTCGAATCAAACACTCTCAACAGAGAATATATAATTTCAATTTCTTAGTTTAACTTTAAAACACTTCTTTTAGTACTTGTGTGCTTGCGCTCCTTGGAGGCATTCTGTTTATTTCCAATTGTAAATCTTCACCAATAAAGCACCAATTTTTGGAACTTTGTCTCAAGATGTCTGTTCCTTACACAATCATCTGAACCTTTTTAATTGTTATCGACAACCCGCGCAAAACAATTCATTTTCCATTTCTTCGGACAAATTGTTCTGACCTTGAGTAGATTGGTGCCATCTCTACTTTCAAGTACACTTTCTCAGTTTTTCGACAAAAGAAATTTGTGATTTTGACTCAATAGTCCGCTGGTCATGGTCAACCATGAAACTTTGTATTGCCTATAGAGAAGGCTAAACAACGAAACCGTCGATTGTAAAATTGAATCAAAATCGCTTTTTTGAAATCGTTGGTTTGGGTTTACATAGATCCATCAACTTTTCAATTTTGAACCGAACCAAACCACTTCAAAATGGTTTGATTTTGGTTTCAATCTTTGCAAAGTGTTTCAAAATGTCAAACCATTTAAAAAAAAAAAAAGAATTTAACACATCCCATTTAGAACTAAATCCTATAGTGGTTCTCCAATTTTTGGATGATGTAGATGCATTGTATGATTCGCAAAAAGTTATAAAAGGTATTATCGTATTTGATTTTTCTATTCATTTTTCTATTAGTTGTTTTATATCATTTAAGTATAATCAATGAATTTATGTACTATATTTGTATCTTTGTGGAGAGAATGAATCATGTGTTACAATTGCTGATGTTGTGCTAATTAATATCGACTAAGAGATTAAAATGTTTCTATCATATTATTGCATTATAATGATTAGAATTATAAAACTTTGGTTTGTAATATTTTTAATGATACTATTTATATTTTACGTGAAATTTTAAACTAACATTTATGATTTAATTTATTTGATATATGTTATTTTTTCTTTGTTAAATCGTGATTTTAAACCAAATCAAATATAAAAAAATGGTTTGGATTTGTTTGATTTGGAAATTGAAGTGGTTTGATTATGTTTGGTTTGGTTTAGTTTGGAAAAATTCAAAGCTCTTTGAGTGATTAGATTTTTGAAAATTTCTCACAAATAGTCCAAATTGAACCGTGGTCACCCTTACTTATAGGTATCTCGGCCATCACCTCATCATCTCAACTTGTTCCGTCTCGTATCTTTGAAGGCACATTTATGCCTCGGCAATCGAAGAACAAATATACATTCAAAGATATGTGGATGATGGATCCTTTTCCAACTAATATGGCATCGAGGTGGATCATAGTGATTTTTGTACGTAACATTAGTCCCAAAATTCGAATTTTATATTTATGTGAATTAAAGGATTCTAAGCCTCAAGTAGAAGATTCTTTAAACTGCCTATTCACCTGATCCGACGAGAGAATATCTTACTCCATCTCTTTCCTCGTAGTTTTTAAATTGCTGAATCGAATAATAAAATCAAACAATTGTGATAAATTGTCCATTCTAAGAAAGAGTTTAGGTTTTTTCGTATTAGTCTGGATCTTCAATTCTATACACTCCGGGTCGGACCTCAAAAGTTATTCGGCCTTCCGAGTTTAGGCCTAGAGTGCCTAAGCCAACTTCTTTTGCTGCTGAAAAGATTTTTATCAGCATAAGGTCTTCGATCTGGAAAGATTTTCTCTTCACCCTTGAATTATGCTGATTAGAGTTGAATTTACGTTGCACATTATTTTGAAATATTTTATAAGCGCTATGAAAGTAATATTTGACCCTTCATTTATTCTTTTAATCTAAATATGAAAGAAATACAAGTTCATGAAAATAAATACTAATTATTATACATGCACGTAAGTAGTGAAATGCATACTTAAATGTGAGTATTAGAATTACAACTAAATGCATAAATGAAGATGAATGACAAATATGATACATAAATTAATGTGAATGTTTAAATTTAGAATTAATACTGATGAAATATATACGTGATATGAATGTTAAATCATATATAGTAAATGGATATAATTTAATTTCCAATTAAGTGAAACTGGATGCTAATTAGTATACATGGACGTGAATAATGAACTACATTCTTGAATGTAAAATTCTAATTAATATCAAACCATTGTTTGGTCTCCATTAAATTTATAATACATTTCTCTCTCTTTTTTTAACTACACATTCTTTAATAAAATAATATTACACATAAATAAATAAATAAATAAATCCTTCTTTTTCAACCAAATATTTTTAAAAAAATATTATTCCAAAAATTATAACATCAAATAATAGGGCTCAACCAGGGGCTAATTAAATTAATGTGAATGTTAATTAATTGAGAATTAATTATAGTATTTATAACAGTTTGTAAATTAAATACATATTAAAAAATGAAAAGTATGTTATTGAAATAATTGAATTGTAGTAGGGTTATAATCGTTCAAAAAATAATTCACACTTGATGTGATATTTAATATATTACAGATTACTTATTCATTTTTTTTTTTATAGTAAGTGGCTCTCAAGCCACAAGACTCAAACCAGCTATCCAAGACTCGGCTAAACTTGAGAGACAGGGTTTGGGATTTGCCTTGACATTGAGTCAGAAATTTCCATCATCACAGCCTCTTGATTCTGGTGGTTCGGGGCTGCTTATTGAGAAACCCGTATATGCTTTGCACGCAACTGCTGGAGTTGTCATGGCAGCATCCATAGCAGTCTTTGCATATTGGTATGGCAGGAAGCGAAGGAGGTGGTGAGACCTTCTTTTGTCTCAGAAAATTTTCTAATTTGATCATTTTATGCTGCAATGTCCCGGATGTAGCATTTCCAGGGCAAGGATGACTGAAGATATACCTTGATGTTATACTGTAATCCGTATTTGAGTCAATTGAGTGACAATTACTCATAAGCATTATTCCACCATACTTGAGCTTAGTTGTATCAATCTTCTTGGTTGCTGCTTTGTGAATTTTTGGCTCAGGTATCTTGGCTTTTGTTTTGGTGAGGTCATTTCCTCGATTCTGTGGAGTGCAATAACTCTCTTATTTGATGTTTGAGAAATTATTTTGGAGTTTGATCCATCTAAATAAATTGAGCTCCTCGATGCTGAAACAAGTCCCAGGATTTTATTAAGGGAACCCTCACTGCTCAAGTGAAGAGAATAAACTGCTGCAGGTTGAACCCTTGACATTACAACACACCATCAATTGATTCATCAACATCTAGTGCATCGAAAATCTTTTTTATATTCTTCTCATCATGTTGAGGACTAATACAAGGTGAGTCAATTCCCTTTTGCTGATACGGGGTAGGACGATGAAGGAGATGGAAGAAGATATCTTGGCAATTTTCTGCCCTCCATTTATGATTTGTGTTAGGGATGAGATAAAATTCTCTTCTTCCTTCCCCTGGTACCCTCTCAAGTTCCCTATTCAACAGTATAGCCATCATTTACTATGGCAAGTAATCAAGGGCCTCCACTTATCACCTCCTCTCTTCCAACATAATCACTTTCTGCATTTGAAACTTATTTTTTGAATGCTAGAGGATCCAGAAATACGACTCTTACTCTTTTTACCTCTCTTTCCTTCGAAGAAGCTCCATGACTCTCCATTAGTATGTGTAATCTTCCATGTTTGGGATAGACTTCAAATGTGTTTCGCAGTACTATTCTTATTTTTGGGCTTAATATCAGAAATTTCTCGTATAAGCTCCACAACTCCTTTTTGTTGGGAATCTATTTATGTACTCACATGGAATTCAAAAACAATGTAGATTCCATTCGTTGAATCATCTTGTGTTAAGGTAGAATCTATGATAGGCTTCCAGACAAGGACCAGGTTTGCCATCCAACTATGATAATTTGCCTCTCGGTTAAAGCCATTTGATATAAGCTTTTCAACATCTTTCAAGGTTGCATACCTATCTTGGTTGAGAAATCTCATTTTCTGCTTGTGTGATTGAATTTAGGATCAATTTTCAAGGCGTAGCACGACAACTTCAGATCAATCCACACTATGTCTTAGAGCCTCCATGTAGAAACATGTAGGTCCCTTTTCAAAAACTCTTCCTTTTCCTTTTCCATTTTATCGGACAAATTGTTCTGACCTGGAGTACATTGGTGCCATCTCAACTTACAAAGTACACTTTCTCAGTTTTTCGACCGAAGAAACTTGTGATTTTGACTCAATAGTTCGTTGGTCATGGTCAACCAAGAAACTTTGTATCGCCTATAAGTAGGGTTGAACAAGGAAACGGCCAACTGTAAAATTGAATTGAAATCGCTTTTTTGAAGTCGTTGGTTTGGGTTCACGTAGATCCATGAACGTTTCAATTTTGAACCGAACCAAACCACTTCGAAATGGTTTGATTTAGGTTTCAATCTTTGCAAAGAGTTTCAAACTGTCAAACCATTTAAATAATAAAAAAAAGAATTTAAATTTTATCCAACCAAATTAAAACTAAACACATCCCAATAAAACTGAATCATATAGTGATTCGTCAATATTTGGATGATGTAGAAGCACTATATGATTCGCAAAAAGTTATAGAAAATATTATCGCATTTGATTTTTCTATTCCTTTTTTTATTAGTTATTTTATATCATTTAAGTATAATCAATGAATTTATATAATATATTTTTATCTTTGTGGAGAGAATGAATCATGTGCTACAATTGCAGATGTTGTGCCCATTAGTATCGACTAAGAGGTTAAAATATTTCTATCATGTTGTTGCATTATAATGATTAGAATTATAAAAATTTGGTTTGTAATATTTTTAATTGTACTATTTATATTTTAACGTGAAATTTTAAACTAATATTTATGATTTAATTTATTCGATATATGTTTTTTTCTTTGTTAAATCGTGATTTTAAACCAAATCAAATCTGAAAAATGGTTTGGATTGGTTTGATTTGAAAATTGAAATGGTTTGATTTTGTTTGGTTTGGTTTAGTTTGGAAAAATTTCAAACCTCTTTATTTAATTTAAAAATTTCTCATAAACAGTTCAAATTAAACTGTGTTCACCCTGTCTCGACTATCACCTCATCATGTCATCTTGTTCCATCCCGTATCTTTGAAGGTATGTTTATGCCAGAATAAATATGCATTCAAAGATGTGTGGATGGAGATGGGTCCTTTTCCAGCTAATATGGGATCGAGGTGGGCCATAGTGATTTTTGTACTCCATCTCTTTCCTCGTAGTTTTTAAATTGCTGAATCGAATGATAAAATCAAACAACTGTGATAAATTGTCCATTCTAAGAAAGAGAGTAGGTTTTTGGTATTAGTCTGGATCTTCAATTCTATACACTCCGGGTCGGACCTCAAAAGTTATTCAATAAGGGCCTTCCAAGTTTAGGCCTAGGGTGCCTAAGCCAACTTCTTTTGTTGCTGAAAATATTTTTATCAGCATAAGGTCTTCGATCTGGAAAGATTTTCTCTTCACCCTTGAATTATACTGGTTGGAGTTGAATTTACGTTGCACGTTATTTTGAAATATTTTATAAGCGCTGTGAAAATAACATTTGACCATTCATTTACTCTTTTGATTTAAATATGAAAGAAATGCAAGTCCTTAAAAATAAATATTAAGTATTATACATTCACGTAAATAGTGAAATGTATACTTAAATATGAGTATTAGAATTACAACTAAATGCATAAATGAAGATAAATGACAAATATAATACATGAATTAACGTGAATGTTTATTAATTTAGAATTAATACTAAGGAATATATACGTTACATGAATGTTAAATCATTTATATTAAATTGATATAATTTAATTTCCAATTAAGTGAAACTGGATGCTAATTAGTATACATGGATGTGAATAATGAACTACATTCTTGAATGTCAAATTCTAATTTATATTAAACCATTGTTTGGTCTCCATTAAATTTATAATACATTTTCTCTCTTTTTTTAACTACACATTCTTTAATAAAATAATATTATACATAAATAAATTTAAAAAATCCTTCTTTTTCAACCAAATATTTTTTAAAAAATATTATTCCAAAAATTATAACATCAAAGAATAGGGCTCAAACGGGGGCTAATTAAATTAATGTGAATGTTAATTAATTGAGAATTAATTATAGTATTTATAACAGTTTGTAAATTAAATGCATATTAAAAAATGAAAAGTATGTTATTGAAATAATTGAATTGTAGTAGGATTATAATCGTTGAAAAAATGATTCACACTTGATGCGATATTTAACATATTACAGATTACTTATCCATTTTTTTTTTTTATAGTAAGTGGCGAGACTCTCCAAAGATATATCCACCACCACCATCTTCGTCCAAAAGGTTGAGCTCATTTTTCCAAGCCGTATCATTCACCATTTTGTTACGGAAAATATGTAGAAGAGAGGGCTTCCAATCTCAGTTGGCGCCATAAATTAGTGAAAACGATTTTTCACTTGTAGTCGTCCGGATGGTAGTGACGTAGTGTAGGCCCACAATATATTTTGAAGGGAAAATTAGGCTTAGTACCCTTTTTTTGAGGTGTTTTTGATTAATACCCTTAAAATCTAATTAAACATTTTAATGAAGTATTAATTACGTCCAATTGTGACTTTTTCGTATAAAAGTGACATAATGTCACTTTTTCTATGAAAAAGTGACATAATTCACATTCTCCTTTTATCAAACACCTTGCACGCATCAATTATTTAATTGATTCAAAATTTCCTTTTTCATGTGTATTACTATAAAACGGGGCATGAATTGATATGTTCAAAATTTCAAAAATACATACGTATGCATCTAATTAATTCCTTCAAGGATATAGTGTGGCTTTTTTTTGAGAAAAGTGACAGAATGTCACTTTTTTATAGAAAAGTGGCAGAATTCACATTATCCTTTTGTCACACACCTTATATGCATCAATGATTTAACAGATTCAGAGCTATTTTTTCATATGTATTGACACAATCCATACTCTTTGAAGTTCGATAAAGTTATTTTCAAACAAGTTTCCAAACAAAATAACATAGGGTTAAAGGGGTTCAAGATTGGGGAGGGCGTGTTGACTTTTCTTTTTCATAAAAAGTGACAAAACGTCACTTTTTCATAGAAAAAGTGGCAGAATTTACATTATCCTTTTGTCAAATACTTTACATGCATAAAAAATTTAACGGATTCATAGCTATTTTTTCAAACATGTTTCCAAACACAATAACAAAATCATCCAAAAAAAATTTATAAATGTTAATTATTTACACTATAAGGTTTAAACTAAATCTAATCATGAAATCCAAATAAAAGTGAGATAGACGGCTTGGGGAACTAATTGAAGANTTTTTTTTTTCCAAGTTGGAGGCTTGTTTACGTTCATACCGAAATCTTCTCTGTTTGAGCGTATACGTTAAAATTTCCTTAATTATCACATAATCCAAGTTTATCATGTTTTTTCAAAACAGCCCCAAAATATAGGGTATTTGTGTAAGTATCCCTATTTTGAAGCTCATCTAGCCAAGCCCATTTTAAGACATCAAGCTTCCTCTTCATAATGTACTTGATGGTTTTATTAACAACTTTGGCTTGACCGTTCGCTTGTTGAATGTCGATGGTAAGAGCACGAGAATTGATTCTAGATTACACAATCATCAAAAAAATTTATCAGCCTCTTTTTATCAAAATGTCTTTCATTGTCCGAAATCAAGGAATATGAAACTAGGGATGGGCAAAACCCAATCGAACCCATCAAAAACGTCCAAACTGAACCAACCCGAT